GCCACGTTGCAGATGTGAAACTTAGTAGGTCGTAGTAAAACGGAATAAACGCAAAAAAAAAACGCGACAGCACGAAATAGACCGTAACAGAACTTAGAGGCAGTCCGCAGTGGGAAGGGAGAATGTATATTTCCATTCATCTCACGGTCCATTCACGTTTTAGAGACGTTTTGCTGAGTTTAGTCTGCGTTCTGTCACGGCTAGTTTTTACGGTTGTTGTCCATTTTATTACGTTCTGCCACGTTTCATCACGGTCCTCACGGCAAACTAGGGTGTATGGTAGCCGTTTCCTCGCGTTCAATCGCGGTTCGTCCCGGCATGTTACGGTTTATGGTCCCGGTGCGTTGCGTTCTACTACGGTCTGACACGGCGCACGCGGTCTGAGAGGAAGCAAATAAAAGCCGGGCACTGCAGAGAAGTTTCATTCGAGTCTGAACAACCGAGAAGTTGCTGCACTCCTGCCTTCCCTCTCTCTAACTGCTGCTGATTCTCTTCATTTTGACGAAGTGATTTTAGGGATGCACCCAGCAAACACGCGAAAATAAAATCTTCATCTTGGGAATTCATGATGTTTTATCTTCGAAGGGTCATGATACAATGATTGTTTCTGGTTAGGAGACCTTCTCTGGTACAAACGTGATGCATAGTTTCCCCGGTTTTCCATGTTTCATACGTAGAAAGACTTGACAGAACGTGAGAAACGTATAAGAACTTCATAAGAACGCGAGAAACGAGAAGGGACCTATCAGAACGTAAGAGGCCTGGTGGGAACGTGCTGGCATACGTGACAGAACCGTAGTGCGCCGTGGAGCCCCCGGCACTCCACGGCAACTTCTTCCTACGGCCCATCACGGATTCCGTAGAAGACCGCAAAAGAACTTGTCAAGACTTGGATATAGAGGGGAAAATAACCAAAATCTCAAGGCGCACTACGTTTTTCGGGCAAACGGGGCTGCCGTGGCTGCCGGGAACATAGTGTAAACGTAGCATTAGCCTATCAAGTTCAGTGTGCAATCTATAGAATAGCTCGTTCCAGGTATTGTTGTAACATTCCATTTAATTTTTTATTCACCTTTTAATTTTATGGAGATGCATAAATGTTCTGCTCTTCACCGCTTGAATGTTTTATCTATCCACTAATCCAACCTGGTCTGACATTTTGGCGGCTTTTATTTTGTCAAATCGCCACCTCTTATCTCTATATCATAAATATTATGAAGAAAGCGTTTTATTGACCAGTGTTGTTAAATTAATGCGAGCTCAAACCCGACTTTAAAAAGCTATTTTGACGAACAAACTAACTTGTAATAAACAATTGATGCAAGACGATAGAACGATAAAAAATATAATTTGCAATATTTTGCCAATAAAATTTTTTAGCGGGGGTATTTTAATGAAGCGGGCGGCAATTCCAAACAAACTATAATTTTATTTTGGCCTAAGATGAATAAAATTGATGTTTTACATAGGTATTATAGATGTATTAATCAAGGAATTGATCATTATAATAAAGTTTTACACAATTTCCAAACCTGACAATGTTTGTATTTCATGAATTATGATCAAGTTAACTTTGAAAGTTCTTCTGCATTCAAAAATTGAACATATGCAGTTCTTTTTTGGGAAAAAGGGAGGGGTTTTGCAATTGGAGATGGGGCCCATATTCGGCCCTACACTGGGTAGTGGGAAATCCCTGAAAAACCCCATGCAATTAAGATATGTTTGTACAAATATTTGCAAAAAGATCCAAATCTGATTATAATAATGTAACTACCCCTTCTACAACATTTTGAATGCTTTTGGGGGAAAACAAATCTTCCATACAGTTCAACCAAGAGACATTCGGTTGACCCCAGACATCATTAGACAATTACTCCGAGACTCACAATAGTTATTATAATTTTGACTGTTTGTAATGTCCTTTTTTAAATTGACTATAGGATTTATATATATACAGGGTTAGACAAATACAATTTTGCAGTACCTGTCCTCGGACAGGTTACTATCGTAAAACTATCGGTACTTGTCCTACCAAAAAATATGCTCGTCCCACCTTTTTACGGCCGCCAGGAGGCGGTCGGTTAGTTGATATGAAAGTTTCAAGTGGCCGTGCGTTTCTGCGGAGTTAGAAAAATTTAAATAAATATATTTATATTAATAGAAAATTGAAAAAAGATTTTTTAAATGTTTACTAAAAGCACAATAATCATATAATCAAAATTTTGTAAATACTGGGGGTAAATGTTTCATCCAATCCTGATTGACAAATTCTTACATGACAAAAGTGCGGCAACTTTATATGTAGGCATAGTCTAAAACAAAGAACGAGTTGTATATCAACAATACTTTCTCTTTTTAATCAGCTTAAACTGGATTTGTTATATTTATTTTATCTCGAGGGCGTTGGGGCGGGGGGCAGGTGTTAACATCCTCTAAGACGTTTTTATTAAAGTGCAGAGACGCAGAGGTCTATGGACAGTTTTGTTTATACATATACTGTACATGCATTATGCATGAAGAAAATCGGCAATGTCTTATACAAGTGTTTCATGTAACGAGGATATTTTAACAGATAAATGTAAGAAAATTTAAAAAAACAGATCACGCAAATTTCAGTTTCTTATTACTTTATCAAAGGAACAATTAATTGGTTTGCGGCCGATTTTTGACGCTTGCGTCAATAAGTTTCTTGTTCTTAAATTACATAGAATTGAAGTATTGATATTAAATCATTTCTTGAGTGAGAGACCTAAACAATACACCAAGACCATAGATCTATAAAATCAATCTGTGAACAGAACATCGACACCACGGCCCGGCTGTGTGATTGCCAGGGAACAGCAATCAACAACAAATTCAATACCACTAGCATCTGTATTCACAGTACGAATTTTATATTTTGACAATAAATGTCTAAATTCCCATACAATATTTTTGACGACATCGGTAACTCCATGTTTTACGACATCTGCATATTTTAACGATATGTTAATTGGTAAAATCTAGAGGAGTTCCGACTATTCAATGTACGCATATGCAGCGATGCAGTGGTCAACAGCAGTGAAAAACAAGTGCTTTTCTGTGATTCATGATACTTTTAAAGCGATAACGCAAAAGATAATTGAGTATATCGGACATGGTTTTTTTTTTTGGTTAATTGGAAAATCACTTGTCCGCAGGCAGGCACCTGTTATCAAATTACATGCCCACCAACCAAAACTGGTTGCCCCGTGCGTCGGGCAGTGCTATTTGTCTAGCCCTGATATATATGTTTTGAATCTTCAACCTTTCTGTGGGATTCTCAGTTTCTTTCTTCTTCGATGACCGTTTCCTTCCTTATGCGTCCCCTCTTTCGCTTAGCAGAGGGGGTCTTTGGCAATAGCTTGATCTTGCTGACAGGGCTAAGAACAAAACAAAATAAAGTTAAAATTGTTTAACTTGAAAATCTTGACCTCTTATTCCATAGATATATTGAAGCAAGTAAAAAGCTTTTTTAAATGTATTTTAATCTTAGCTTTTTAAAATCAATGGAGACCCCTTGAAGTTACTTTTTCCTCTCTGATTCATTAATTTAGATAAAGCTTTTCAATATGTAAGAGCTCTTCAAAATCATTAAAGAGGCAAGAGTAACTCCTAACTATATGCTCTCTGTATATGTCTAGCTTTAGACTGACTTGACACCGAATTATTTATGCCTATAACCCTACATAATAAATTTTACACATTAACACACTAAATACCTTGAAAACTCTCGTTTAACTTCTTCTAGCAGTTCATCTGCCCATTTGTATTCGTCCTCAAACATTTTAACCACATCTTCCTTGATGATTTGGTGAATTCTTGTGAAGGAGGTAACAAACAATTTCCCAATGACATTTTTGATATTGTCATCCACCATTTCCATGGGGACTTTAGTGGCATTCTTCTTATTTTTCTTAAGTTTGGGCATCTGAAATAATCATAAAAAATTATCAGTTTGCTACATTTTTATTATTTTCATTTTCAGCACATTCATTAACCCATAAACTAATTAATTAATGTAGTAGAAAGCAGTCTTCAAAATAAGCCCTGGAACCCAATGCCCGGGACCTGGTAAATTTGCAGGGCAAGAGGGCACATGAGAAATTCTCAAATCACATGCCCTTTGGGCATGTGTGGATTTTCTTTCAATTCACAATGTTTACTTGCCATTTCTTCTGTCATACCCCAGTTATTCAGGTAAACTTGCATTTTTACATGGTTTTTAGCCCTAAAGTATAGTACACCGTCTGGGAGAATACTTATTTGTAGAGAAAAGTCTCGATAAAAGTTAAAGCCATAAAAAAAGTATTGCGCCCTGTAAAACAAGCAAGATTTTTTAGTACGCCCATTCCCTCATTTTGAAAAAAACGGAATATCATCATTTTCGTCTTTTTTGCTATCTAATGGAAATAAATTGACAAATAACTCTTCCCACTCTTATTTTTGCTTTGGAAATTTCTACTGTCAACATAACCAGTATTGTAGTCAACTGTACTAGAGAAATGAAGTTTGTTTACAATGTTTTTTGTCCTTTTTTTTGGTTGGTGGATCTAACATTTCAAAGAGATACTGATATATGACTCCGTATTCTAGAAACACTCGAAATTATGACAATATTTCCTCATTTTTTTAAGATGATGAGTTTAGTGCATAATAAAAATTTATTTTATTACTCGAAATCATCATTTTAAAAATCGACGGATTTCAGTCTCACCCCTAACCATGCTAACTGTTGTAAAAAGTTACAACTCGTATCATAATCATGATAGTGATCAGGTCCAGTCCAAAGACGATTTCTCACTACTTAGCTATTAATAGCTACGGATAGCATTACACCTACCCAAAGTAGCTATTTTTACCTACTTTTTGTATTATCTACATTTTGTGGCCAAAAAGATAAACGATGCAACATGGTGGTATATACCATATTTTTTTGATACAGTCACACTCATGATGCATATGACAAAATTTTAACCAAAAAATGATTACTTCCTGAATCGGCAATTTTACATTAGTTTCTATGCAAAACGATGATAATATACGAAGTTATCATTTTTTGGCCAAAAATTATAATCAGGTCCAGTCCAAAGACTATTTCTACCTACGTAGCTATTAATAGCTACCTAGGTATTTAAAACTACCAAAAGTAGCTATTTTTACCTACTTTATATAATTTCTGCATTTTGCGACCAAAAGACAAAACGGCGCAACATGGTAAATAGGCGTATTTTTTGATATGGTCACACTTATGATGAATACGACAAAATTTTGGCCAAAAAATGATGACTTCCTAAATCGGCATTTTTACATTAGTTTCTATGCAAAATTGATAATATACGAAGTTTTCATTTTTTGGCCAAATTTTTGTCATATTCATCATCAGTGTGACTGTATCAAGAAAGTGTGTACTCACCATGTTGCGCCGTTCCTGCATTTGGCTACAAAATGCAAGAAAGCAAAAAGTAGGTAAAAATAGCTACTTTGGGTAGCTTTAAATACCTACGTAGCTATTAATACCTACGTAGGTAGAAATAGTCTTTGGACTGGACCTGATAATCTCATATTCATCATCAGTGTGACTGTATCAAGAAATTCAGTGCTCACCATGTTGCGCCATTCCTGTGTTTGGCTACAAATGCAAGTAAAGCAGAAAGTAGGTAAAAATAGCTACTTTGGGTAGGTTTAAATACCTACATAGCTTTTAATAGCTACGTAACGGCTGATGATCTATATGTATACAACATGTACAAAATTGAAATGTTTTATTTACTGATACCGCCTGATTCATTTTTTCATCATCTTCATTAATAATCTGCACAAAAGACATTTCGCTGACTATAAACATCAACTGACATTCATGAATCAAAATGAATTCATCAATGACATGTGATGTAGCAGCATAGTTTATGCTTGTGACTAGTAGAGGTACAGGATCTAATTATTACAAAACATATATGGTTAATTGTTTCAATTGGCATGAAAGAATCGCTTATGATATAAATATGACGATAAAAAAGACCATTCAACTACTCACTGTTCCCTCCCGATGAGTCCCACTTTTGAAATATATGAAATTTTACCTCCAAATTATCAGCCAATGAAAATTGACTTCCGGCTAGACCATATAATTAACTTCCGGACAAAACCGGAAAAAGTATGTTAAATCTCTATGGCTTTGTATTTTTGTCTCAGAACGAAAAAGGAAATGAACAGAAGAGAACAGATTGGAAATAAAAGATTTATTCATTTCAGATTAAACTTGTGAACGAAAACAACCATGAATGATTTTTAAGTGTTTCTAAATCTAGGTAGTTTCGCATTTAATGGTAAAGCCTGTTATGGTTTTTCCAATTCTTAATTTGTTCTTCAAAAGTCAAAAGAGGGTAGTGAATGCAGCAAAAAATTTCATTTTTTTACAAGAAAAAATTCGAAAACAAAATTGCCACTTTTTTCGGAATGTTTTTGTAAACAATAAAAAATGAGAGATCTTCCGAATGAATCACTTCCGCCATTTTGCATTTTGACATGTAAACATACAAAGTAAATATGTCTAGGGATTCGAATAATTACAGTCAAAGCTACAAGCTTGTCGTTGTTGGAGGTGGTGGGGTAGGGAAAAGTGCTCTAACAATTCAGTTTATACAGGTATGTGATTGGCAAAGTGACTAATTATTGTCACAATGGCTAATTGAGGAGCCCCTCATTAAATGGGTGGTGATTCGAGAGTGATTCACTAGGTTCTATATGTATATTTTCCCTAATTTTATTTATTGTCAATATTGATTAAAGTTAAATTTAAGTATATTTTGGTGGAAATGTGTGTTTTAACCTACAAATTTATGTCATCAGTCTCAAAATCCAAACTTGAAAGTAAATTTCATTAATTTTTTGGGTGAACCTTCACTGCTAATACAGAGAAATTTATCTTTTCTTTTACATGTATGTATGTTTATTTGTATCTTTTTAACATTCTTGTAAAATCAGTTCACACATTTACCCTAATAAAAATTAATTGCATTCACACATGTATAAGGTATCACACCGGTAATTGACCAATCAAAATGAACTTAGTCAAATGTAGGTCCATATATATAAAATTGATTTTCTTTCCTTTTGAGACGTTTTTCTATTTTCTTTCATGCCATTTTTACAACTTTGGTACCTGTGCCTAGTAAATTTTATGTACTTTGTGAATAAATAAAGGTTTTTGACAGGAACTATTTTTTTCATGGCATAGGAGGCTACTTCCTGTAGTGCACTCGAGGTGTTTATAAACACAGTGAAAACACGTGGATTTGAGGGTAGCCGTGTTTGCAGATGGAAAAAGTCCGAAAATGCCGTGTGGGTACCCTGTTTTTTGGTGTCATCTAATGTGACAGGTAACGTTTAACACCTCCTGCTAAATATTTTTTCATGTAAACAAATACCTGATTTTTAACGATTTTTTATTCTATATAGAATTATATAGTGAAAACAATTACCGGTGTGATACCTTGAAGGTGATTATGAAAAATCGTTTTAATCCTTATTAAAGGCATTTTTCATTTTTAAAAGGCATATTTCAACAAAATATGTGATTTTATGAACTTTTTGTTTGAAAACACACAATTTTAAAATTAGAATTAGAATTACATTTTTTTTCACAGATTTCTGTGTAAAAATTAACAATAGGTTATTTTTTACACTCAAAACTTTAAAATATGACTAAAAAGGTAGCATTATGCATCTAAAATGTGGAAAAAAGTCAGAGAATATTGTTTTATCATTTTATATGATTAAACATTATTTGCACCAGCTGACCGCAGTCAATTACTGTGTCTACAGACTTTGCGGTAAAGGGTGTTAAAGCTGATTTTTCAAAAATAGACTAATTCTAGGTTTGCGAATGAATTTTCAGCACAAGCGACAACTGCGATAAAATGTAAACAAGTAAAATATGTTCTCACAGAATGATAATTTCTACAGACACATGATTTACTTTAATTTATTCACACCTCCAGTAATACATATATTACTGCATTGGAAGAATAGAAATAATGAAATGAGTCAGATCTGTCTAATAAACCTAATACATAAGCTACATAAGTAAAATTCATTAAGAATTTTTCACAGTAAGGAAGGTTATGACCAAAAAATCCTGAAATACTGCCCGGGTCTGCATGATAACACTTATGCTGAGTTCTAACCATGCATCATACATGTAGTTCAGAATGTCACTAAGCATTATGGCATGCCTCTTGTGGTTCTCAGGACTTTATTCATGCTTTCGCAGCTGACATTCATGTTTTTTCAGTTTGACGGAGACTGTTTTTTGTTATTTTTTCATTTATATGTAGGTGTTGACTGTCACTTTTGAATTAAGTCTCACTCATTGAGGCTTATATGAGCATGATCTATTAAGTATATCATTGTACTGAAATATTAATAAATTCCAAATTTAACTGATGAAGAAATTTGGCATATTTACATAATTAAAATATCAGAATAACTATAATTCAGCTAATAAGGTGCACCTTTCTTCTCAGACCACTTCCTATAAATTTTATCAGCAGTTTTTGTACACCCACCCACCTCAAAGAATCATGGAGTATGTCCTGAATCTGGTCTCTGTGATGCATTTTGTCAAATAGAAAAGTATTCAAACTCATAAAAATGTTTAATATTTTTATTTTAAAATTTAAATGTTTATTTTTTATGTAAATTTGTTGAAACAAAAAGATATAATCTTGCATAAATCATGGAAATTCATTAAACACCTTTGGAATTCCTGAGTAAATCCATGAAAAGAGAATAATTATGCATGTTAAATTGAAATTTCATGGCTAATTTGTGTCTTAAGAGAAAGCCAGTTACATAAATCACAACAATAAATTACATCTGAATTGTTGTCTCCAGTTTCTTATCATCAAAGCCAGTTTAATGGAGTGTGGGAGCTGTGAAGAACCTCCCTAGATGCTGATATGATTTTGACTGCCCTGAGTTACAACACAGCATTTAGATAAACTTCTGCACAGCAGCTTGTAGACAAATACCTAGGCTTTATTTGGAACATAAATTGACCAGATACAGTTTTCATTATCAACCCAGTATTTAACAATTTCTGTATTTTTGTTCATTCTTTGAAGGGGAAAATGCAACTTTGTTTTGTAATAATTACATAATGATCTTAGACTTGTAAACTCTTTTCTGTTTGTCGTGAAGAACAAAGCATATGCTCTCCACAGATAAAAAATTGGTTGCCAAGCTTATTCTTTTAATAATGAAATTCTGGTTCAAAAGATGCACAAAAAAACTGCTTCTAAAGTGCTCTGTGTGTTATTCTCGACTGCTCTGGAGTAAGGGAGATAAATGCTTCATATCTTCAGAAATAAGGGGATTTAGATCACCAGACTTAAGAATGTTGGGGACAATTATTTAATGAATCTCGGGTGCAAAAATGGAAAAAAATCGAACACCTTCAAAGGTCCTTCAAGGTATCACACCGGTAATTGACCAATCAAAATGAACTTAGTCAAATGTAGGTCCATATATATAAAATTGATTTTCTTTCCTTTTGAGACGTTTTTCTATTTTCTTTCATGCCATTTTTACAACTTTGGTACCTGTGCCTAGTAAATTTTATGTACTTTGTGAATAAATAAAGGTTTTTGACAGGAACTATTTTTTTCATGGCATAGGAGGCTACTTCCTGTAGTGCACTCGAGGTGTTTATAAACACAGTGAAAACACGTGGATTTGAGGGTAGCCGTGTTTGCAGATGGAAAAAGTCCGAAAATGCCGTGTGGGTACCCTGTTTTTTGGTGTCATCTAATGTGACAGGTAACGTTTAACACCTCCTGCTAAATATTTTTTCATGTAAACAAATACCTGATTTTTAACGATTTTTTATTCTATATAGAATTATATAGTGAAAACAATTACCGGTGTGATACCTTGAAGATGGTTTTCGATAGGCCTGAATTTAGCGAAAGTTACCTCCCGTTGGCCGCCATATTGGAGGTCGACTCAGTGATTTTCCCTCTTTGTCTTACCAGGTTTAAGAAAATATAGCAGAAATATTTGGTGGAAAATCTTTATCAAATATTTTTTTTTAAATAAAGGAGGCTTCCAAAAAATTATATACTTCAGAAAAATAATGATTTCTAATTCAAAATAGCAAATATAAAAATTTTAAATTGGTTGAACAAAGAATAAATATGATCATTTGGACCTCCAGTATGGCGGCCAACGGGAAGTAACTCTTGGTCAATCGAAAACTATCTATTACTGTTTGCTAAATTATAAAAAAAACTATGAATTCTAAAATTAATCATACAAGAAATCATTGTCATAAATTTATTTTTTAAAAAAATTTCAACAGAATATCTAGTATTTTCAATTGTAATTTCAATAAAATTAAATTGTTAAATGTCAGTCAATTTTGATGATTTATTTTTAGTGTTAAATTGACTTAGTTATACTTTGAATACTTTGGGGAACAGTTTACAATTTGTAAGTTAACACTATTGTAACTCTTACCATGCTTACTGGGGCCCTTTTAAGTTTATTAATATAAAAGAGAAAAATGGAATGAATGGAAATCACAAGTAAATTAGAGTGTTCTCTCATGTACAAGATGTCCAACAGATATAATATGTAAATATCTAAATTTAGGTAAGTGCAAGATGAACAGCATAATAGATCACATACATTAGTCTATGTGTTTGGATGATTTCACAAGAACTTAATCAACCTTAAAACATATTCCAGTTGCATACAGAAAACACGGTTCATTTGATACAATTCTCCCAATCCTGGTTTGATGTTTAACTTGCATATGATCATCAGAGTGACAATAACTTCTTTTCCCAGTAAATCAAAAATTTAACAACTGAATATATGTATTGAAATAACATATGATATCAATTTGAGGAAGAAAAATATTAATCATATTCTTTTTTCAACCTTGCTCCATTTAAACATTGTAGTTCATAATTCCAGAAACATGGACTAGTTGTATGCTAATAACTTCTTTTTTTTTTTTTTTTTCAGTCATATTTTGTAACAGATTATGACCCAACAATAGAAGATTCCTATACAAAACAATGTGTTATTGATGAGGTAGTGGCAAGACTAGATAGCAAGTAGCTTAAAATTCCCTAGAGTAAAATTCTGCTGTTACTACATGTACTTTATAACTGTTACATTTTTTTTAAGCTAATAATATGCAGAGACTTCGGGGGGGGGGGGGGGGGAGGAATGGAGCAACCGGCCTCTTCAAGAAAATTTTAAACTTGTTTAACTTGAAGTACCAACACTGTCCTAATTAATACTGCACAGTTATTGAGTTCAGTAAAGATGAAAGACATAGCTTTTCTTTTAAATTTCACAATGCTACCTTCCTGTAGAATATTGTTTCTACAGTTCATATATTAAATTAGTGCATGTGTACATTTGCATATTCTTAATCTTATGCAGAATCTTCGTGTGACTGAGTATATAAAAAATCAGTCAAGCAGACAAGTAAAACCACACCTCTTTCTCGGCACAGCTGTAGATCTACATGTTCTATAAAACATGGAATTATAACAAGTCAGTCGGTGTACACAAGTGGTTTCCTAAGTGATTTTCGTAAATGACACAAAGCAAGGTTAAGATTGAAGTGGCCACTAAGTACTCTCACCATATACACAGATGCATTGCCTACAACACCACAAATCAACATTTTTTTTTTTTGTACAGGCAAAAGTTTTTTATAGATATTTTTTCTCCTGAACATGCTAAAATGTGGACATACACTTCTGCATTATTTGAATAAATATTTGTCTTATCTTATAGCCATAATGGTACTACTACTAATAAGTGTTAGATTGAAGACGGCTTATCATGGTTTATAATATGGATACTTACATTGTATTAATTTTTGGTAGTGTTAAATTACCAGTATTTAATGTCCCTGGTTATACCCGCACTTTCTAAAGAAAGTTCGGGTATATTGTTGTTACTCATGTCCGTCCGTCCGTCCGTCTGTCACACTTTTCTTCCCTGAACTCCTCCTACATTTTTCACAGTAGCTTAATCATCTTTTGGGAGATGGTTGGGGGTGTCATGTAGATGTGCAGTAAGGTTTCGGAATTTTGATTTTGCCCCAGGGGATCTTTTTAAAAAATAGAACTCCTTCTAAATTTCTATGACAGCCTAATCATCGAAAAATGACGTTTTTCGAAAAATGATGTTTTTTATACAAAAAGCCCCTTCTTCCCTGAACTCCTTCTAAATTTTACTCAGCAGCCTAATCATCTTTTGAGAGATGGTTGGTGGTGTCATGTAGATGTGCAGTAAGGTTTCGGAATTTTGATTTTGTCCCAGGGGGTCAAATGGGGTTCGAAAAATGACGTTTTTTTATGTTAAAAGCCCCTTCTTCCCTGAACTCCTTCTACATTTTACTCAGCAGCCTAATCATCTTTTGAGAGATGGTTGGTGGTATCATGTAGATATGCAGTAAGGTTTCGGAATTTTGATTTTGCCCCAGGGGGTCAAATGGGGATCGGAAAATGACGTTTTTCATGCTAAAAGCCCCTTCTTCCCTGAACTCCTTCTACATTTTACTCAACAGCCTAATCATCTTTTTGGAGATGGTTGGTGGTGTCATGTGGATGTGCAGTAAGGTTTCAGAATTTTGATTTTGCCCCAGGGGATCAAATGGGTTTCGAAAAATGACGTTTTTTATGCTAAAAGCCCCTTCTTCCCTGAACTCCATCTACATTTTACTCAGCAGCCTAATCATCTTTTGGGAGATGGTTGGTGGTGTCATGTAGATGTGCAGTAAGGTTTCGGTATTTTCATTTTGCCCCATGGGTCAAATAAGTAGCCTCATCTGTTTTAGGAGAGTTAAATATTTTGAAAATTAGGTAAAACATCAACATCATAGGGTAAAAAATCATAGCATCCTGGGAAAAATCTTCAATTCTTATGAGTAATGTTCATGTCAAATGTGAAAGTCATATCTCTTCTCAATCAAAAGTTATAAGCAAATGCAACATTTATGAAAAGTAGGTTAAGCTTCAGTCAAGGTCACCGAGTCATGATTTATTTAGAAAGGTCTTATCATAGGTAATAATATACATGCATGTATAATATGAATTCTACCAAAATGATAAATTTAAAGCAATGTAATTTTTTTTTGCAAGTAGGTCAAACTTCAATATCATGGGTAAAAAAAATCATGCCATTGTCATAGGTAAATACTAATACATGGTATGTTTAATACAAATGCCTTGTCTCTTCACATTTAATAGATATGACCGTGATGACCAAGGTTAAATTGACAGACTGACATACAGATGTACATATTTCTATGTAAATTGGTTAAAATTGGCCCAGTGGTTGTAGAGAAGTTAAAAATGTAAAAACTTTCCAGACAAACAGATGGACGACAGACGTAATGTGATAAGAAAACCAGAAAAGCTTGAATGAGCTAAAAATGTAGGATTCACAATTATTTAAAAGGATTATCATGGTTACAGTATTTGAAAAGTTTTGTTTTTTTTTTTCATGCAATTTTTGGAGAAGCTGAAAATGTATGACATATGTATCCATTATTGTAAAAAAACTGAACATTTCAGAGAACAGTATGATTGAAAATAATTAATCAAGGTGTTTTAAGTAGCAAAATAAAGGTAGTAAACTTTTATGGCTAAATCAATCGCAGAACTTCGTCAATTTTAAGATGCACAACCTTTTCAAATCTTATAATCATTGTTGAAAATACAACCATTTTGATCATCGCCATTCGATTCATCGCCATTTTCGCGATACCGCCATGATTTCCCAAGAACGTTTTTCCTGCTATATAAAATTCTCTTTATAACGCCAAATTCGCATACCGCCATCCGCCACCCTGTTTTCACAACAAACGTCCATTTTTAAGTGTCAATTATCTCGATAATACCGCCACAGGTGCATGTGGTCAGTGAAACGCGGCTAATTGGTTGACGCTATCCCTGTTGTAATGCATGCAAAGCCAGTCAAGGTGCAATTAAGTAAATTAAATAAACAATGATTTTAACATGAACTGTTAAAATAATTTTGTTTTCTGTTTAATAAAATCATTTATAAAGTAACACTTCGCCACGAAAGCGGTCGTTGTAAAGTACGCCGATCACGATAAATATTTTGATGATCTCTGCTTTTAAAAACAATGCAAAGTTTGCTTAAAAAATAAGTATAAGTCAGAAATTCTGAACGTTTCATTAACAATGATTTCATAAACAACGAATTTATTCAAGAACTTATTTTGCGTACTATAGGCAATATATCACGACGATCGACCCAGCATTTTTTTTTCAATATCAAACGTGCAGATTTACATGCATACACATGTACTTGTCTTAATTTCATAACTGAATATTTTGTTTTAGCAAAATTGTACATTAAAAAAATTACTTGAAGTATTTTCAAATATAGAAATATGTTTATATATACATGTACATGTGATAATAAGAATAGAAACGCTAAATGGTATTTCTAAGAACGATAACTCTATGTCTTATTTCCTAAAAGATGGAAAATTCAATTCATCGCCAAATTCGTTATACCGCCATGATTTCTAAATTACAGAAGGTGGCGGTTTATCGAGAATTAACTGTATTTATATCATCAGTTCTGATTCAAGGGAGAACAAGAGATACAACCAACATGCTCATGTTTTATGTTATTTTTAGTAATTTGTTTGTTTATTGTGAAAACATCTCTCTCTGGAATTTTTCCCTCATATGGAGACAACGCCACTTAAAAATAATGAAGACAAGATGTGTTTGTTAAACACTGATGCCCATGTATGGCAGCTTATGGTCGAAGGTTGAAGTTTCTCAAATGTATGGCAAACTCAAAGGTCAAGGTCAAAGGGTTAAAATTGTTTGTATCAAAGTCTTGTCACAAGGAATACACATGTGAAATAAGGCCATTTTTTTTTATTTGTTTTTTTACGGATTTTTTGGGGAAAATGTCCATTGGGTGGCTAAAAAAAAAAAAAAAAAAAAAAGAAGAAGAAGTGTTCAATGTTCAAAACTTTTAATATACAGCATATAAAGCAGTTGGGGAAATCAACCTCAGAACATTGCACAGAAATGTCTTTCTTGGCATTCCTCACTAACAGAGAACGATTCGAGCAGAGAGAGTCATATTAGTGAACAATGCTAAACTTTTCTGTGTATGTCTATGACTGGATACGGGTGTCCTGTCACTGCTACGTCCACATTTCCACATTGCCACAGAAAGACACACTTCAGCAAATTTTACACAACCCCCTGTAAAATAATAAAAGTTTAATCAAATTCAGATAATACCTTTTCTTAAACAGTATTAAACGATATAAAACTAAAATTCAGTGCACAATCATTGGACACAAATAAACTTACTAGAATGATAAGTCATCCCCATTGGGTTTCACATTCCTATGACTCTCATACAAACATTTTTTTGTCTAAGAACATCCCGATGAGTCAGTTCCTTTTCCAAATCTAAAATTTAAAACTTTAAGAAACATTTCTTTCACATCTTTTGTTTCTCTGACGACAACACGTCTTGCAAATTTTTAAAATACAGTCAAACATGTGCTTTTAAAAATGTCTTAAATAATATATGAACTGTTAACTAACCATTAGATATAACTGTTCAAAACTTCGCCAAACCCTCAAAGAAAAGTTATGGGTGTCGGATGGAGTGCAAGTGACGACATCAGATTCGTTGGTTTTGGCTGTAATTTTCTCAACCATCACACTCCATTCGCTGATCAGATAACATCATATATAGAATAATCACCAGCCTGATCAGCTCATAAAAACCGTCATACATTTATACATTTACTACTGTTCTTAAAACATTTATATTCTGTTTTGAAAAGCCTAAAATGTTTCACACATGGATGGCTGTCACACTTATTTCATCTCTGACTATAAAACGCTTGCAGAGATTTTTTAAAAGGGTCGATAGTAGAAGCGTTTACATGGTTCTGATCACAACTTAGTAAAATTCAAACAATGTACGGTCATTTCCGGATTTTTTTAATATGTTTGAAGTAAAGTTCGATCGGCGATTATAAAAAAAGGATTGAATGGAATTTTTTATTTTTTTTCCAAAACTTAGAAAAATGGGGTCGGCGGATCCGTAAAACAACTAATAAAAAAAATTTGGCCTAAGAAATCCCTGGTACTTCCTGTTCAAAAGTTAATTGCCAAGGTTAAAGTTTTTTTTAAGTGGGTCAAACTCAAAAGGTCAAGGTCAAACATATTTATACCTGTTAAAAGTTCACATTGAATACACATGTTAAGCATGAAAGCTCTAGCACCTACTGATCAAAATTTAAGCCAAATTACTGATCAAATTTCTTCAGACAAACAGACAGACATTATTAATTAATACAAGAAGCAAAATTTGTATATAGTCAAATGGGTAAAAAATCTATTTTGGTGTCACAAGATCAATTGTAATTTCACGGGCAGGGAGTGGCTAGGGAGAGTGGACCCCCGTCCCCTGGAATTTGCTTTGTTATTCAAATAAGACTATATACTGAAGCAAAAAAAAATGACTTTGGACATTATCCCCCTTATAAAACATGACCCTATGACACCATTATCATTGATTTTATTTTGTTTTCATTTTTTTTTCCTTGCTTGTGAGGAAATTCTGGGCTAGCATTTTTATGACTGAGGTGTGAACCCCCCCTCCCCCTCCTGAAAAAAATCTGGATCTGCACCAGTAAGTGAGTAACTGAATGTCAGATAGACAACGGGAGATAACTTCACAATGTGAAATTTGACTACTGTGCCATGCAATGATCTTTGAACTTTAACCTAACCTTTCGGTTTATTTTACCCCAATCTATACTTAAACTTGTACTTACCGACTGTCACAAGTCTTGTCAACTTCATGAAATATAATCCAATTATAACACAAAATGAATATTTTCCATACACATCTGCACCATGTGCATGCTATGTAAACCTTGGATGATTCCGTTCAGTACGAATCAGCCGAGGTGTGCCGAGTGAAGCTTAATCTAAAAATATGTTACGGGTGACGCAACCCAATGTGATGTAGAAATTTTCCAAAAGGTGTTTACATGTAAACATGACTGTAAAGTTTAAGAACAAATTTTGATAAATTAATTCATAACAAACTATGTTTTAAGCCTATTAAAAAAAAAATGTACGTTTCGTGAGATCGAGGGTGTGTATGTGTGTGGTGTTTTTGGGAGGGGGGGCATTATTTAATTAAAGAAGGTTCCAATTATGATCAAAACATTTTTTAAAATCTAATTCACACCATTGATTAGATTCTATTTTTTCAAGCACATGGGCGTAGGAGCCGGGGGGGCTAGGGGGGCTTTAAACCCCCCTTTTTTTTGCAAAGATAGACATTTTCTATGTATTGAAAATTGGGGTTTACCTTTTTTGTTGGTTTAGCCCCCCCCCCCTTTCAATTTCCTTCCGATGCCTATGAAGTATATAAAATACTGAGTCATAAGTCACAGGGTCTGAGAATGTTATATTCTATGTGACAAATACATGTACTGTGTAAATTATAGAATTATTTTGACTTTTCCTTGGAAAGCCCAATATGTACGGGTGTGTATTTAGAGGCAAACACATTAGTGCGGGTATTACTGTCTCATGACAGCATCTAGTTAGAATACTTGTTTCCTAGGCATTTTGCAAGTGATGTGAAATCCAATACAGTATTCAGACTGGATTCCATGATCAAACATTTACATACAGTTGAGATTAATTGTGGGCCTGAGTTAGCAGGTTTGGGTGGCAGGCCAGCATCTTTTGGGGCCAGGGCTCACAGATTTGAGACCCTGTTTGCAACTTATGGGGCCTGGACTTGCAACTTTTGAGACTCATATTGCAACGTATGGGGCCTGGACTTGCAACTTTTGGGACCTGGGCTAGCAACTTTTAGGATCTGGACTTGCAACTTTTGGGATCTGGGCTAGCAACTTTTGGGATCTGAGCTTGCAACCTTTGGATCCCAAGGCTCTGCTTGCAACTTTTGGAGCCAGCCAGGGTAACAACATTGATGTCAAGCTTAGCAACTGTTGCTCAATTTGGACCTGGATTAGCAACATTTGGGACTTGGGCTAGCATCTTTTCCCATAGTCTTTAACTGTTACTCACAAGGCTCAGATTAAATTTCTTCACTCAGTGGTGTGTATAGTATGAATCCCAAAGATAATATAAAAGTACTAAATTCAGAGAGAAAAATCCCATAAACTGACTGTATACTTAGCTTGTGACTTAGTGCAACTTATGCCGATAAGAGAATGCTATTTACTTGGGACATACCGGCATACACACTTGTACATCACCTTGTACATTCCAGCTTTCCTGTTATGACACATTTTTATGATTGTTGTCTCTGGCTAAGTGTCCTGAATAAAACTTTAAGTTTGATTTTTTTTTAAATATAATGCAACAGTTTTAAGACAGTCGATCAACTTGCTTCCTTGTCTCTTGTGTTAATGGGAGTCAAATTTTGAGCAAATGCATTGTGTACACAAACTTATGGTAAACAAATCTTGAAAAGGAGGTAATAATCATAAATCATAAAAATCTGCTTTAATTCGTAAAATTTTGTGGATGTTTATTGTCCAAGTAACCTGAGTTTTTTTTTTCCTATTTATAATTTTTGCTTATGAACAAGTGCTTCTTTTTTTAATATATGGATTTTTTTTTTATTTTCTATTTTTAAATTTAAAATTAAGAAAATAATACCTAATTGAAGGTGCAGGTGTTAAAATTATTTCTTTGTTAATTAATCCCCTTACCTTTAATTGATAAAATATGAGCTAGTATTTAAAAAAGATTAATTTCCCATGTCTTAATTCATTGTGCACATATTGATATAATATTCTTTGAAAAAAAAAAAAAAAAAATCAAACAAAAGTGAAAGGAATTTAACAAATATGCATGCAATTTATCAGGATATGACATGTTCAAATATTTGCTTAAGAGGAATTAAAAACATGCTAAATATCTTTATACTCTAGGTGAAAAGACAAGTAATATAAACATGTTAAAATTTCTCCTGTGCAACTTTTAATTTTTAAATGCATATCTAATCCTATGATAACTTGTAATAATATCAAATGAAAGTGAATTTCCGATACCTTCTGATTGTGAATTATTAAAATTCTCCTGCTGTGTTTTTTTTCCTTAGTTTATTTTTTAAAATGCAAAAACAACTAATAGGCAGGCTCGTCCTTAAGAATTGAAATAGTAAGAGACGTTTTAAAAGTAGAAGGGGTGGAGTTCTTCTTCTAAATGAGGACTGAAGTGCAATCCAGAATAATTGGGGGAGGGGGGGGGGGGTACATAGGTGGAGAAATTCCACACAGCCTGGCTCTTATGGGCAACCCTAACAGGTTATAAATATGGATATTTATAGCTAAAGAACACAAAGTCGTCGACAATGCATTCAATTGAAAATGCATTTAGCATTTTCCTACTCAATTATACACATTTATCATTTTGTTTATATTGAAACAGTATTTTAACACAGAAATACAGCATTTCATGAAAATTTTTCTTTTTATTATATGAAATTTTATTTTTAGTTTTAGATACAGCAGGACAAGAGGAGTTCTGTGCCATGAGGGAGCAGTATATGAGGTCAGGGGAGGGGTTTTTACTAGTATACTCAGTGACTGATAGAGCCAGGTTTGTATGAGTACATTTTGTCTATATAAGGGGGAGGGGTTTTACTAGTATACTCAGTCACTGATAGAGCCAGGTTTGTATGAGTACATTTTGTCTATATAAGGGGGAGGGTTTTTTACTAGTATACTCAGTGACAGATAGAGCCAGGTTTGTATGAGTACATTTTGTCTATATCTGGGGAGGGTTTTTTACTAGTATACTCAGTGACAGATAGAGCCAGGTTTGTATGAGTACATTTTGTCTATATCTGGGGAGGGTTTTTTACTAGTATACTCAGTGACAGATAGAGCCAGGTTTGTATGAGTACATTTTGTCTATATCTGGGGAGGGTTTTTTACTAGTATACTCAGTGACAGATAGAGCCAGGTTTGTATGAGTACATTTTGTCTATATCTGGGGAGGGGTTTTACTAGTATACTCAGTGACAGATAGAGCCAGGTTTGTATGAGTACATTTTGTCTGATATTTTTTACTAGTATACTCAGTGACAGATAGAGCCAGGTTTGTATGAGTACATTTTGTCTATATCTGGGGAGGGTTTTTTACTAGTATACTCAGTGACAGATAGAGCCAGGTTTGTATGAGTACATTTTGTCTATATCTGGGGAGGGTTTTTTACTAGTATACTCAGTGACAGATAGAGCTGATAGTACATTTTGTCTATATCTGGGGAGGGTTTTTTAGGTTTGTATGAGTATTTTGTCTCAGTGTATACTCACAGATAGAGCCAGGTTTGTATGAGTACATTTTGTCTATATCTGGGGAGGGGTTTTACTAGTATACTCAGTGACAGATAGAGCCAGGTTTGTATGAGTACATTTTGTCTATATCTGGGGAGGGTTTTTTACTAGTATACTCAGTGACAGATAGAGCCAGGTTTGTATGAGTACATTTTGTCTATATCTGGGGAGGGTTTTTTACTAGTATACTCAGTGACAGATAGAGCCAGGTTTGTATGAGTACATTTTGTCTATATCTGGGGAGGGTTTTTTACTAGTATACTCAGTGACAGATAGAGCCAGGTTTGTATGAGTACATTTTGTCTATATCTGGGGAGGGTTTTTTTAGAGCCAGGTTTGTATGATACATTTTGTATATCAGTGACAGATAGAGCCAGGTTTGTATGAGTACATTTTGTCTATATCTGACAGTATACTCAGTGACAGATAGAGCCAGGTTTGTATGAGTACATTTTGTCTATATCTGGGGAGGGGTTTTACTAGTATACTCAGTGACAGATAGAGCCAGGTTTGTATGAGTACATTTGTCTACATGCTCAATGATTGGGTCAAGAGTTGTGGGTTTTATTATACATGGGGCTGGATTAGGAGTGGGGTGCAGGGCTAACTTGTAAACTTTTTCATTAATGGGGCAAGGTTTGTATCAGTTTATTTTGTCAACTTGATACAATGAGAGGGAGAGATTTGTAGTTTTGATCATGCATGGATGTCTAATTCGGGATTAATTGTTAAACTTCATTAATGGGGCAACTGGTTAGTATCAGTACATACATGTATATCTACTTGCTCAATGACAGGGTCAGAGTTGTGGGTTTTATCAATACATGAGACTGGATTATGTGGGAAGGGGGACTCATGTACCTGGAAAACTTGAGACAATGAGAGGATGAGTGTTATGGGTTTTATCATACATGTGGTTGGATGGTGGGTGGGGTGAGAGGTAAATTATAAACTTCTCCTCATGGGACAAGGCTCTCTAGGGAGGATTATTGACAAGTGTATTCAGTCACTGATGGGGTCAGGTTATATCAGAGTGCTAATGCACTGATAATTGTCTGTCATCTATCTATCTGATAAGCCTCCTAAAAACAAGTTCTCAATGTGCTACTGGTCAACTAAAATTTTTGCTTGACTTGAAAATTTCATAGAAGTCTATATATAGTCTGCTGTAAGTATCTTGGTAATATTATTGTCTATGTTAATAACTAGTTGTTAGATTTAAGATTTCAAGTACCTCTCCTTATGCATTTTTTGTCTAATTTAAGTTTTAAAATGATGAAAGGCAGACAACAGTAAGACTGGAAGTACTGATACTCATTTTTCACAGGGTGTAAATTTTTCTTTAAACATTCAGTTGAAGGACTACTAGATTTACTAAGCTTCTGAAATTCACAAGAAATTCAAAGTCCCTTGACATCCAATCCTTTAGAAAACTAAAAAAAATTCAGTTGAATTCATTGGAGAAAAATTCAATAACATGTACTAAAATCTCCCACAACATGTCCCCTACTTTTTGAAAAGTGACCCTCTATATCAAACTTTTTTGAAAGCTCAGTTGTTTAATGTGTACTCACCATCTCTTGGCTCCTTTTGTATGAATGCTATCAAACTAATTATTGATAGGAATAAAACTGGTGATACAACTTCTACTATTACACCTGCTATCGTAAACTGTAATACTTAAATGCATCCTCTATCATTATACTCCTTGCTTGAAAAGTGGGGTATATAGAACGAAATTTTCACCCATTTTATTTTCACCCTAACTCACACTGGTGAGCAAATACATGTAAATATGGAACAAATTTGAAGAACACAGTCTTTAGCAGAATTGTAACTGAGCAAATTGCAAAGGGCAAAATTGCTTACTAGTGTGAAATGGTGAAAATAACACACAACAGAAATAATCCTGTTTATAGTATATAGTGATGGGGATGTTTATCAATACATACTTCCTTACGTAATGCTAGGTGGATACCCATCTCTACCAGCAACTCCTCCTAAACCATTGAATAAAATTTGATAAGACTTTGAATTCACAGAAGCGTTACAAAGTGCTAATATTATATTGTTCAGATATTTTTAAAAAACTCTGACACCAAACAAATATTTGAGGTCTCCTGATTGAATGCTGTAAAAAAAAAATTTATTCATGTGTGAGAAATTTTCGTGAGGTTTGCGAAAGCCCCGTCATTGCAAATATTTCTTGCTGCGAACCGATCTTTAAAGTTTGTGTGCCTCATAACAACAAATCCAAAATAGGCTTGATCGCGAAAATTAATCGTTGCGAACTAGTTTATCCCTGGTAAATTGCGAAATAAAGTCATCACAAATAAAAGTTGCTTTACAGTAATTATAATAAACGAGAATTGGCGATACTCATATAGGAGCAGTGTTTATCATTTTCTGAGCTCAATCCTCCCGGTATCTCAAGTTTGCCATTTTAGATACACAGGGACAGGATCTCTCCCCGCAAGATCATGAGATATGGTTTCTAAAGGATTAGAGATGTATTATGCCTGCATTGTATGATAAGTTAAGTGTCCTACAAAGAGATAAAAAAAAAATGAACGTAGATTGAGAAGCAAATCACATGTTGTTGGACTTTGAACAGTTAGATTTTGTATGAAGTTATGAAATACACTTACATCAAGGTCATTTGAGCATATAACAAAGATTAAGCTTGATGCTTTTATTTGTTCAGCTTTTTGAGAATAACAACAAAGGTCTCCTAGTGCTAAGATGGAAATGGGAGGGGGGATATCATGGAAAATGATTTTTTTGGAATTATTGAACAATGACATGACATTGCATCCCATATGAGGCAATGCAGTATGCATTATATATATCTGATTTTTTTGTAATGAGATATAGCAAAAACATTTTAATAAGTGTATTATTTTATATAACCATTATCAAAAGCTGTCACAATCGAAAAAAAAGTAGAGAATTTGATTAACGGCTCAACGGTTAGGGAAGTAGATGGTTCCTCGTACTTATAGTTTGATTGAAAACTGAAGATGTGACAGCGCAACACTGACACAACAATTACACAACTGTCACATACGTTAGATGTACCATGCAGTGTTGGTGTTGTAGAAAACTTTATCCAGTGCATGTTGTCATGAGAAGATGTGCTTAATTTTTTCTTCACCTGTTCACACTTTTTCTAGAAAGCCAAGACACGAATATGTCTCAAAAGGCATATGATAGTGAAACCATCTTATATTGATATAGACTTTCAATGGTCATAATTGTTGGGAACACTGTTAATTTGTGAGACCTTAATTTCACATGATTAGGCAAGACAGTGTGCTCACAAAAATATCATTTTCATGTATATTAGTATCAATTTTCCTCAACGTTATATATAGAGCAGTTGCCTCAAATTGTGAAAATTTTGCCTCACTAATAAAGAATAAATGTCAATCCCCCCCCCCAAAAAAATAAGTGTGTCAAAAATTTAGTGATGTACAATACTTGAATATTTTTTTGAATTAAATAATTATTGCATGTTTTATAATAGATTACTCAAACACCGATAGTTTTATACAATAAGGAAAGGTGAAGTAGAAAACAATTTTCAAGTCAAGGATCTTTTAAAATAGTATCACTGTGGTTATATAATAAATTATACTTGGTAAACATGGGAATACCAACTTTTTCGTTGTCATTTGTCTCAGCCACTAAATCAAAAGATTTCATAATAAAATTTTGACTTAATTTGTTTTCAGTTTCAATGTCCTTGCTTATCTTTTTTAAAAAAAGAAAATAATTTAATTATGATATTAATTTATAATCTCTCTGTTTTATTTCAGTTTTAATGAAGCATACAAATTCCACAAACAGATTTTACGAGAAGAGTAAAGAGCAGAAGAATTTCCAATGATACTGGTAGCCAACAAGGCGGATCTAGAACACTCACGGGTGGTTAGTAGTTATCTTTAATTCTGTTGGATAGCTGCAGAAATGCAGCTGTCTAATGGTTCCTGTTAGTTGCAAAAATTAAAATTTTATATGATTAAAACTAAAAGCAGCAGCAATATTTAGTTTAGCTGCAGAACTGTAGTTTAATGGTCTTATATATTTGTCTTTGACCATAACGCTACAGATCCCGTAATGCAAAAAAGGTGCAATTTATAGCACAAGAATTTTTGCGCACTTTTGGGGAGAATTTCACCACATTCCAGCATTGGTCAATCAACTACCATTCACTCCCTAATTTTAGACACATTTTTTAACAAATTTTATCAACCTCCTAACCTTTTATAGTTGTCTCTAGAGGCGACAAACTCGCCTTGAGGTGAATTTTCAGCAATCTAAAAGTCAACTCTAATCAAGCACAATAATCATTTTCAGAGACAACTACGAAGGGTAGGGAGGTGGATAAAAAAAAATACAGATTGGATAATGAATGTGTCTATAATATGGGAGCGAAAGATAGTTGAGTAACCAATGGAATGTGGAGAAATTCTCCCCAAAAAGTGGGGAAAAAATCTTGCGCCATAAATTGCCCTTTTTTTGCATTACGGGATCTGCAGCATGAAGGTCAAAGACAAATATATAAAACCATAAGGCTAATATACAGTTCTGCAGCTATATTTAGTATACTTGTACATGATTTCTCCAAGGGGGAATGTTGATGATGATAAAAATCATTGGGTTCCATGTCATGTACATTTACCAAAGATGTGCCTATGATATTTGTGTGATTCTTGATTTTAAAATACTGTCATTAATAGCTTTTGCAATATAGATAGGCAAAATTCCCATATTTGAAATTAATTATTCAACATTTCCTAATTCTATAGGACAACAAATTAAAATACTTATTTTTTTCCATTGTGATGACAGATATTTTTTTTAATAAATCAATGAATTATGAAGTCATAATTTAATGGCTTTTAAATGGACTTCCCCCCTGTAACATACCAGAGTTATCTCTTTAAAAGTAGAATGATATGAGAATCTGAACTTCAGTACAATATGTTCATAAAAATAATATTGACATTTTCAAGTTTATACACCCACTGGCTGACCCATAGATTCATACATGTATTAAGCATATCCACTGGGTTATCTGTATTTTCTATGAAATCATTTATTTATATGAGGGTTTAAATTTAGTTGTTTTCATGATATGGAGAAACCTATGCAGTTCCACATGAAATATAAAATTTCTCTACTTCAATTCTTTCACAAAATTCCCCCTTCATCCACATAGATGTTCGTAATTGTATATTGTCTGTTGCTGCATAAATTTGTATTTATTAGGTGCATTCACCATGATGAAAAAAAAAAACCTGGGGTTCTTTGTAGGTACTGAAATAAGCAAAAAGTTAAATCTCATTAGAAATCTCAAATTCCCTGGAACTAAGAAAAAGAATTTGAAATCAGATGGTTCAAGGTATTTCATTTAAAATGCATTAGAAAAGGTGGTTAGCATTTTCAACTTACTTTGACCTAATTATATATCCTAGATATACATGTACTAGATGTTTGCGATATCAATTAAAGCTCAATCATACAATCTTTATGATAATTTTAAATACATGCATTTGTAAGACCCCTATATATACAGTAAAACTCAGTTATAGGGAAGTCACTTGGACCTATGAAATTACTTCGCTATATCGGTAATTCGTTATATCCGTATAAAGAATTTGTTAAATTTATATAGCTGGGGATCCAAGATAACTTTGTTATATCAATGAATTTGCAATATCCATGTTCGTACAAACCAAGTTTTACTGTATCATTGTAAAAGTTTCATAAAAATCTAATTAGATTGGAATGCTTCACAAAAGAGGTTCATTTACAGAATGTTTTCATTTTCTCCGTAGGTTACGAGAGAAGAGGGCCAGGAGTTTGCTGCTCAGTTAAAGATTAGTTATATTGAAGCCAGTGCCAAAGTGCGGATGAATGTAGACAAAGCTTTTTATGATCTGGTTAGAATTATAAGGTATGCCAATGATATCTCTCTATCATATAAGTGGAAATTTTAACAGGAGGCAAATTTAGTGATTTGTCTGTAGAAATTGGTGTTTTATTTTCAGCAAGGTGTAATTTTAACAATTTTAGAATGCTCACTAAAGAAACTATTTCAAGACCCTCGATAATAATGTCAAAATTAAATCCTCGCTAAAAATTCTGCTTATACAGTATATACATGTTGCTCAGGCCTTGTTTAAAAGATACATGTAATATGGTTATCCTCTCCTCTGAATGAAACAAAAGGCTCAACAAAACTGTTTTAATTTAGATATTGAAGATTCAGCATTGATTTTGAAATTTTCTCAGAAATAGATTTTTTTCACCAAAATCAATTTTTAATCCTGAGTTTGGAGAGGGCAAAGAAACATTAGTTTAAAGTGTCCTCCTTTCAGCTAAGTTCTTGTTTGGGAATTGGGAAAATCAGATGAGAAAAAATTTATTGATAATGCAGATATTTAGATAATGAAATTTTAAGTTCAACAGCATTTAGGATATTCAGTTAGATGTTATAATAACTTAAAATTGTTTTCCTTGCAGGAGATTCCAAGCCAATGAAAGTCCTCCAGTCAAACCTCCTAAACGAAGTAAAAGGTGCACCATTTTATGATGGATTGTATGCTCTTTACTCAATTTTTTTTTTAATCTGGACAAGTTATACCCACCTGATGTAACACAAGAGAATCGAAAGCTTTGTTGTGTATACATGTGAAGTCAGCCTCATTCTGGTAATGACAATCCAAGTCCTGGTCATCTGAGTGTTTGAAAGCTGCATTCTCCTCTATGTTGTGGTCAAGCTTCAAGCAAGAGTCAATACTCTGTAGATTTATGTGCATCATGCTCACAATGTTGCTATACACAAAGTATATACATGTATGTAATGTCATGGAAGAATGACAAGTGAACTGTTTATTTTGTTTACAGGTAATTTAACTTATTTTTTTTTATGAACAAAAGAATTCAAAAATCAAAACCTTCATTATAACAGTCAAACCTGTGGTATTTTACTTCTGTATAGAAAATTTGCATAAAAATTGCATATGTATAGTAGCTATGGTAACCATGATTAAAGTGAAAAGATATATGAATGTGAAAAGTTTGTTTCAGTTCATTTTTACTGGAATTTTAGAAAATTGTCTAGTAAATTAAAATGAACCAGCTTCAAAAAGTTTAATAAAAAAAATCAATAAAGTCTCAATCAACAAATTTATGAAAACATGAGGAAAACTCAACAAATCCTGATAAACATTTTTAATATGGCATTAAGAAATAAGAAAGGTTATTTCAAAAGTTTGGCAGAGAGAAAAAATCCTTGGTAGAATATGTTTTAGATGTATCATGAAATTGTATTGTATAGTGAGAAATGCACAGTAGGTTTGACTGTTACGTTTTTATTTTTCAACCAAAAAAAAAAGTCAGTAGATACCTCCAATAGTACCTCAATTTAATCAAGATCAATGTTTATTTCAGCTTTAATAAAAAATTGCATTATTTTTGTGTACATAACTTATTTGCTTTTAAACATAATTATGGAAGATTTTGAATGTATGTGTAATCGTGTAAAGAAAGTACATAGAATTACTTTTATTTCTTGCAAATTACTTTGTAGAATATATTAAGAGTAGAGGAAACATTTTGCAGTTTAAGGAATCTTTTTTTTTTTACAATTATTTTTGCCATCATGCATTCCACAGATTTGATCTTTTTTTGTATACAATGTTATATTTTTAATTAGCCTGTATATAATAATTAATATTCACATTTTTCAAAATTCAAGTAAATTTATTTATTTTGTATCTACAGTAGCTTTTATGAAAGAAACAATAAGCATACTTGTTTAGCTTAGACAAAGAATATAGAGAACTGTTTAACATGGCATTGTCCATTTTGCTACAAAAAAGGTGGATTAATTTTTACACTACAGAGGCTGAATAATTTTCAGCCTCGCAAATCACCTTATATAAAATCTCCATTAAATTTACAGATGCATGGAGAAAGGTGCTTCTGGCTAAACAGATTCAAAATGTAACACCTCTTACCCTCCTTTTAATACCCATCCCCCAACATGCAGACTTCCATGTATTGGAGAAACTGTAGGTTTTACTTCCCATATAAATTCCCTAATGTTTTATATCTTTTAACAAATGTTATATCATATAAAGATTTTTTTGGGGGGGTTGAGGGGGAATTCTTTGGGGAGAGATTTCATAATTTTTGCTTGGCTCAAATGGCATTATAAACTCAAACTAAAATGTAATTGGAAAAATGGGGAGAGATGTACATACAATTTTGACATTTGGATGTATATGAAAAACTGACAACTCCAGTGGACAGAGATTTTGTGTCCTCTTGTTTTCTCAGCTACTCAGAATAGTGCTAATGGCTTGTACATGTGCTTTATTTGCTTTTTCATGCTTTTTACATTAACTTTATATATTACTACTGTTTGTTCATCTCTTCATCACCTACCACTATATAAATGTTCCTGCTGGAATATTCTTTCTTCTACTATGCCTTTTATGAGAAACTTTTAAAACTTTGAATCCGTTCTCAAAGAATATACCTATACATGTATATACCAAAGATTTTTTACGAGATAATTTATTTAGTATAGAAATTGAGAAGTTTCAGGAAAAAAAGTTATTAATTTCAAAGTAAAATTGTAAATTTATAGTGTTCTAACAAATATTTCCCGTAAATTAACAGAAGTTGCAATGCCTAAGTGGTTTCCAATGTTTCAAAATAAGTAATTTTTTTGTAAGGGTGGTCCTCTGCTCCATAAACTGGAAATCGTTTTTTTTTTTTTTAATTATTACTGTTTTAGAAGAGCAAAATGAAATTGAAATGAAATGTGATTTAAATGAATTCAATCAAAATAGTGCACATTTTCATTTTCCCTTTTTTCACTCCTGTGAAACTTGAATCAATCCCACCCTATATCTCAATATTATTGAAATGCATTGCCAATCAATTTCAGAACATGTAGCTTTGCAAAATTTGACATAATAACCTCTTTTTTAACTAGGTAATTTTTAAGGTATTGTAGACATTAATTCAGTGAGAGTTATTCCTCTTTTCAGGGGGGTCTGTAAACCTTATAGCAAAGGGACATCACTCTTTAAATTATGCATTGAGAGCTTGCTAAATTTGTCTTTTATTCTTGTTTGACAAACTTTATTCCATCTTGAAAAAAAGGTGTTATGCTGTGTAAAACAAATGAAAAATCTATATCTTGTTTTTTGTGTAAAAAGGATGTGATGAGTCATGTAAATAAAATGATAAGGTGTAATAACTAGTTAGAATATTTATTTCTTAGTCAGCTTCCATTTGTTTCTAATATATTCAAACTATTTAGAGGATAGCAAACAAACTAGTCAATCTGTTGATTTTCTATTTTCGTTTTTTTCTTTGTTTTATTTATGATTATCTTTGATTCATTATATTCAACTTTGTTAACTTATTATTGGACTTTTTTTCAATCTTTGTTTTTTTTCTTTTTCAGTCTTCTGTATGTTATGTATGACTTTCTATATCCAGATTTTAAATGTTGATTGTATCTGTATTTTCTCCTCTATTTTTGTGTGCATTTTTTTTGTACGTCATCTTGTTTTGATATATCGATATTTATATACTGTACTAAGTAGACTCTCTTAGCTTAAAGCTAAATTTCATTCTTAGTGGGGTTTTTTGGCAGTCATAATATAAGAAATGCATCAAACATGCATAGAAATTTGTTTAACAATCAATTATTAAATTGTCCTTAATAGAGTACATAACTTTGGAATATTTTTACAGTAATTCACCGGGTTCAGTGTTTATAAGCAATCAAAAGTATTGATGGTTCAAAGGATGTACTTTTGGGTTATTCATGTACTGTAGATCATTAAATTTTAGGGACACCTTATTTTTGCAAGATAGTCGATGACTCTTTATTAGCGAGACAAAATTTTCATAAATTGTTGTTATTCCTCTATATAATTGTAAGGAATACTTTTATACCCGAGAATGAAATTTTTGCGAGCACATTGCTTTGCGTTATTATGTGTAAATAAAGTTCTCATGAAAAAAAAGTGATTTATGGTATACTGAAAATTCAATGAACTTATACTAATGTCTTTTGTTTATATTTAATTAATCATTGTAGAAGAAATTTCCTATAACTCTGCAATCAGAAGATGCTATGAAGCAATTTTAATGAAAATCTAAATACTATAATGTCCTAAAATTAAAGCCTATATTTAATGAATTAAAAGGCAAGAGTTTTTTATAGTACAGAAAGAAGGGTTAATTGTAAGAGTTTATTTTTAAGTTTTTATGTGTAATATTTATTATGTCCTTGTTTTGCACTTGTTAAGATTATTTTTTTAAATCACTAGTAATAATGTCCAACATTGAAAAATGTTAGTGTTTATTTAAATTTATTTTCATATCTTAAATTTTCCAGTATTTCAGTTATTCCAGAGACCTCCCTGTGAAGCAAAAATGCTCTTAAAAAAAGTAAAAAAAAAAATGAATTTTTAAAACTTTTTCATGTCACATTTACATATAGACATCAAAATATCATACAAGTTCTTTTATAGTCTTAGTCTAGGTTTATTAATGTGCAAGTTTTCATTTACTATTCTTGTATATTTCAGTTGACAATCATTTTCCCCCCTAAATATCAAAATCACAATTCAAAGTGATTTTTTGTGTAGGACATGAATGTACTGCAGCTTTTGCTTCCATTTCTCAATTTCACTGGAGAATGAAATAATTAAATCTTTTAAGATTACACTTGTATGTTTTTTACAGAGTACCATTTTTTTCTCACTACCTGATAAAATTATACCTTATTGCAACATTGTGTATGCTAGAGTTTACATTTTGAATAAGAACCACCTATGTCTCAAGACAGACTGAACATAGAAATATAATTCCAACAAAATATCAATATTTTTGGAATTTTTTTTTTACAGGGGAGCATTTTTGTGAAGTTATAATACTTTGCATGTCTTTTATTAAATATATTTTGAAAGAGTGTTTGGGTGCATCAATACATTCATGCTTTTTAAAGGCCTGTGTCTGTATGCAATATTTTTGTGATTAATCTGGTACATCCTTGTTGTAAGAGTTATCCTTCTTTTACAAATTAGAAACCAGAATAATATCACATTTTTTGGAATATATGCTTTTTTGAGTGGGTGTCTGTCATTTTTTGTGATCTGATATCATTTATTTTATGAATAAACTGTTATATACACTACAAGCTCTTTTTTTTCATTTTTTAAGTTCCTTTCCTGTGTAGAATGGACAAGAAATTTTTACGAAAGATTGATTTATTAGCTCACCTGAGCCGAAGGCTCCTGTGAGCTTTTCTGATCAAAATTTGTCCGTTGTCTGTCGTCGTCGTTGGTGTTGTCGTTGTCGTCGTTAACTTTTCACAATTAAGAATTCATCTCAAGAACCACTGAGCCAATTTCAACCAAACCTGCCACAAAGTATCCTTAGGTGAAGGGGATTCAAGTTTGTTCAAATGAAGGGCCAAGGCCTCATTCAAGGGGAGATATTATGAATTAGTGAAAAATTAATGGCATTTTTAAAAAATCTTCTTCTCAAGAACCACTGGGCCAGGAAAGATGTAACTCATGTTGAAGCATCCTCAGGTAGTGTAGATTCAGGTTGTTCAAATGATGACCCCCCGGGGGTAGGGTGGGGCCACAATAGCCGATCAAAGTTTTACACAGGTGTATACAGGGAAAATCTTTAAAAATCTTCTTCTCAAGAACCACTGGGCCAGGAAAGATGAAACTCATGTGGAAGCATCCTCATATAGTGTAGATTCAAGTTTGTTCAAATCATGACCCCCGGGGGTAGGGTGGGGCCACAATGGCTAATCAAAGTTTTACATAGGAGTATATAGGAAAATCTACAAAAATCTTCTCAAGAACTACTGGGCCAGGAAAGAAGAAACTCATTTGGAAGCATCCTCATATAGTGTAGATTCAAGTTTGTTCAAATCATGACCCCCGGGGGTAAGGTGGGGCCACAATGGCCGATCAAAGTTTTACATAGGAGTATATAGGGAAAATATTTATAAAAATCGTCTTCTCAAGTACTAGTAATTCAAAGCTATGATAAGTGATAGTATAGGAAGAAAATGTTTTTAAAAGATCTTTTTATCAAGAACAGCAAAGTTATATGCTGTATCAATATGAAGACATTCTAAAGTAGTATTAAATTCAAGCCCCCCCCCCCCTCCCCTTTAAGTAAACTTTTCAGTTCTGATCTGATTTTTTTTCCCTAGACGATATGCTCAGGTGAGCAATGTGGCCCCTGGGCCTCTTGTGTTGTTTAACTTCCCTCTGAGAATATTTCACTTATAATATGGAGATGCCACCACTTGCCTGTGGAGAGCTGCATTTTTTTCCCCTATAGATCCTCGGCACTAACGGCCATTGAACAGTAAAGAGTTTTTATCGTGCCAGCAGCTACACAGTTTATATGGTCTCGTCCAAAGAACCAATCTCCACGTCCCACAGTTTCTACAAAAGAAACTGTGTGTATATTTATACCCCATGCAACAAGTTGCGTGAAGTATAATGTTTTTGACCCGTCAGTCAGTCAGTCCTGTTTTTTTGTCAGCGCAGCTCCTCTTAAACCGCTGCACAGAATTTCGTCAAACTTTGCAGATATTTAGAACACAATGTGTAAATGTGCACATTACCAAAAAATTTAATTCCTTTATTTTTTCCGGGAATTTCCACACTTTTCAACTTAGATTTTTGACAATATCTTGAATACAGAGATGAACAGTTTGTCAGCGCAACTCCTCATAAACCGCTGCACAGAATTTCAGCAAACTTTGCAGATGATTTAGGACACAATGTGTAGATGTGCATATAATGGGGAAATTCCTTTTTTTTTCTGGGATTTTCAGCACTTTGAGTATTGGGGGAGCGTGGGGTATGTGAGCTGGCTCACTTTTTCTTTCCTATGATCTAAATTTTATCTGCATATATCTGGACTTTAAGTCAAACCATATGGGACCAAAGTTCTTTGAATTACTTGATGCTCAATATTTGGATACTCTATACATGTATATGTGACATTATGAATGTTTGTGCTACATGTACATAGCCTTGTTAAACTCCACATTAAAAATGTGATACATACAAGTACCCTATGCCATTAGAGGTGTTAGACGTGGAAGTTGAGGACATTTACATTTTCTATTGAAATCTAAGTGTCTGGGTTAGACTCCATGATTTGAAATTTGTGCTCAGAAAATTTAACCACACAAGTCGAAAAACACGCATTACGATTTAAAAATCAGTAGGCCCAGAACTATACCGTTTTTATCATTTTTAGCAAAAATATTACGGCTGTGTTTTACATTGACTCTCTAACAAGGGAGAAATCCTACTTTGAGAAAGAAAGAGGGGAAAATTGGGCTCTGGTGTGAAATTTCCCCTCAGGGTCGGGACAATCCTGCTCTAGAGTACGATTTCCGAGGGGGGGGGGGGGTTGGCTATGGGGAAAATCCTTCTCTACAACACCGCTATTGTTGGTTATAATTACTCTGACTTTTGACTTGTACATCATGATGCTCCGTGTATTAGGGATCCATATTGGTTAAATAGATAGTCTATTCATTTCTTAAATGTTTTATTTTGACATCATTGACAGCTGTTTTTTTTTTCAACGAAAATCGTAAATTTACTCACTTTGTCATTGGTCATTTGCCAATTATTTTGTTAGAAACATTCTGATTGTACACACAAGTTGAAATTAAAAAGATACCTTTATGAATTTCTGTTTGATAATATTCATGCCCCCCCCCCCCCCCCCCCGCTTTTTTTTTTTAGACCAAGTCTTCAAACAATCTATTAGAAATCGCATGGGTACTTATCACGCACCGCTATTGCGGATCGACCTATTCAGTATTTTGTATTTATACGTAGCAGAATTCGTTCAAAATCTTAAATGTGAAAAGAGGAAATTAAAACACTTGTTGTGGCCTACAACTCAACCTTTCTAACTACAGTGTTGACACGTTGTATTAATTACAATGGTTATATTATTTTCCATTCTTATGTCGATACGATGTATCCCAGTGGGTTTGAAATAAAATTAAGATACTATGCACGTACAGACAAAGAGCAAAGGCGCGTGTTTCCGTTTTTGCTCTGCTACAATATCAGACCCCACCCCTCTAGATATGCGCATAGATCTATTGGGTACCCATCTCTTATTCTCAACTCCTTCTATACCACTGAATGAAATCTAAGGAACGGGTTACAAGGTTCTGTGAAAATATTCGTCCAATGATTTTTTTTCTTCTCATTTTCACATATAATTAATTTGCCTTTAAAGTTAATTACGTATATCTTAATATCAAAATACCAACCATGGAAATTGGAGTTATATGGAAGTAATGGTTGTCATGGTAACCACCAATCTTTTGATATATTTATTAGATCTAGGTGAATTTTTAAATATGGCATACACGCATCAAAACTGAAATGAAAAAAAAAAATTTCTCCAGATATTAAATGATATGCTCTATATTTCTTGAAAATAAAAATTGTATCGGAAACTATCAATTGATAGATGAAGCAATGCCACCGTTGCTTCGGGGAGTATTAATTGTAAATTTACAGTAATATTTTCACCTCGAGAGCAGTTTTCAACGTTTAGACAAAAATTACCCAATGAATTTTCAACTAATATATGTTGTTCTAATGATAAAAGTGACTTAATTGGTTAAAATATGAAGTAAGGTCATCAGATTCATTTTGAAGCTTCATGCATTTCAGTAACCCCCCCTCCTTTTTTTTTTTTTATATTTTTTTAAAATGAATTTTCATGTGATGGTTTGTTGCTGAACCTTAAATATGAGTCTATCAGGTGACGCCTTGCAATCGCATCCTCAATGAGACTTTCAGAGAATTTTTAATTGTTACATATAGCCATAGTACGTGCACCCTTATCTTACTTTTGGATCAGACACATTTTCGGTTACTTTTACTTTTACTTTTATAATTGTATTTTGGTATATTTAACAGTGGCGTAGCATCGTTTTTGAAAGAGGGGGGGGGGGGGGCAGCCAGAGAAAATTTTTTTTTTACGTACCTGAAAAAGTTGACAAGCAAAAAAAAAAAAAAAAAAAAACAGTTGACAGTTGCCCAAAGTCGAAAATCCTATATTTCGTGGGGGGGGGGGGGGGGGGGGGGGGGGGGGTAGGCTCACTTTTTTTCAATGTCAACTACTTTCAGTACCATTTCGGTACATCACTTAAAGTTGGGGGGGGGGGGGCAACCAGGTCTTCAATTAACATTTCCTATAGTGTAAGTAAGGTTGGGGAAAAAAGCGGGGGGCCACGCCCCCCCCCTGCTCCCCCCCCCCCCCCCCCCTCTTGCTACGCCCCTGTTTTAAATTTCGCTTTTGAAGAAACTTTTCCATGGGATTTTAAGAAAAAAAACATCATAATTAAAAAAAATTAATAGATTATTTATTGCATTATTTAAAATTTATGTTTATAAATCATACACAAGATCCACCTCGCCATCTTTTCCGTTATTATCCGGACAAAGAATTTCGAAACAACGAAAATAAAATAAATTATGAAGAAAAGCAAAAACAAATGCACGTACATTTAGCATTTTAAATTTTGAAGTAAAATTATTAAACTGACTAAAAAGTTATTTTTAAAAACAACTAAATAAATCATCATCATTTTGATGCAAAACGTTCAGTGTAGAATTTTGCAGCTTTAAAACATTCACATGAGCCAGATCTCGCCACATCACCAAAACCGGCGAATAGAAGGTTCACGTGTTTTCACTTTTCAACTACGAGCAGCAGAGGACATGTCATATACACAATACAGAGATTTATTTTCTTACATATTTGTTGCTTGAGGCTAGGATTGTAATCAGCTTTCGTTATTTCAATTTCATCCACGTGACAAAGTGACTTCCTTTTACAACGCGACTGTCCACGAGTCAAAACAACATGAGCAATTCACAAACAGCTGTTCACCGTGGGATCGTAAAACAGGTGAGTATTTTAAAAATCGCTTACATTAAAAGTGCGCTGTTTATTCAAATTTTACATAGTGTTTATTTACAAATGTTCCCTTTTAATTAGAAATCGCTTGATGGTATATATTTCTGCGTAACATACCAGATGATGTGATTGTGTTTGCCAGACTAGAAAAAGAAATTAACTGGCAAATTGTCTTCTATGTTGTTTTTTTTTTTAAATGTAATTTTATTTTTAAGTTATACATGAAAAACAAATGTGTCATATGAGTTTCACGTGGCTAATATGGTTAATTTATAACTAGGTATAAAAAACATATGCATATGGTACTTTCACACACCATCATGACCATGCACATGTTCTAAAATGTTAATGTATTGACAGATTTATATGTGAAAAAAGAAACATGCTGAAGATTTAAAAAAAACAATAATTTGTTCTGATTTCTAAGTATAGTTGTACATCATATACATGCACTTTGTTAGGAAGTCTTGATAGACAAAAAACTTCTTGTTTAAAAAAAATGTATTGTTTAGAAATAATAAATCAGTGATAGGAAGTTTGACAGGCATTAGTTTAAAAAAAACCTATAGATTCATCATTTATCAGGAGCTTCATTTGTGTATCTAATGCCTACTGAAATTTAGATTTTCAAGAAATATAAATTTAACTATCTTTAATAAACAATAATTATTTTGAAACAACTGTATTAACATCTATGTAAACTTATATAACTAGTCTAATTTAAAAATAAAATCCAAATTCCCAATTGATACAATGCTTTTAAACATTTCCACAACATGTATATGTGTAGTATCTACGTATCTAAGTTTTTACTATTTTTTGCAGGTCTTGTCCGGAGATGCAGTGGTCATCAGGGGTCAACCCAAGGGAGGCCCACCCCCAGAGAAAACAATATGCTTCTCCAACATCACCGCCCCTCGCATGGCTAGACGACCCAATCCAGCACAGGACAGCGTAGAGACAAAGGATGAGGTAATAAAACAGGAAAAATATAGATAAATTATTGTACATATCGAAGACAGGTTTTACCTTTGATATTTTGAAAGTTCAGGTTAAAAAATAATTAAAATTCAACAGAGCTGTATTAATTATATTGCAGAAAATTGTATTACAATCCTGTTTTAACAACTTAAATGAAATATCTTTTCTTGATGGGTCATGAAATGCTACATAATTATGCAGTGTTGCTTAATAAATCTTTATTTGAGCATTGGGTCATTTTCATGTCCCAACATGAGACAGGTGTAGGATTTTGAATGCCTGAAGAACCTCTGAATTGAGTAGAAATTTACATTGTGATAATTTATTCTTGCACATGAACATGTGTGTATCGTGTGCATGTATACAGTAAAACTTGTTTAATACGAACCTGTATATTACGAATTCACATATGAAGTGAAGTTTTCTTGGATCCCCCAGTGTAAACATTTATGAATTCCTTACACAGATATAACAAATTACCAATATAGTAAAGTATTTTTACAGGTCCCAGTGACTTTGTTATAACCAAGTTTTACTGTAGTCATAGCTGTGTTATTGGAAAAGGGATGGCATTAAAATTCCATATTAATCCTTTCAGCCCTTTGCATGGGAAGCCAGAGAGTACCTGAGGAAGAAGTTGATTGGGAAAGAAGTGGCTTTTGTCATAGAGTACACTGTACCAGGGACCGGGAGGGAATATGGCTGTGTTTATCTCGGAAAAGGTAAGAGAGAGAGGGGTAGATTTTGTTATAGAACAGGCAGTATCAGACACGGGGAGTAAAAATGATTCTGTGTACCTTGGGAAAGTTAAAGAGTGGTTGGGGGAGGGTTGGTTATAGAAAACTCACTACCAGGAATAAGGAGGAAAATTT